CAGAACTCAAATTCTAGTAAAAAGATCAGACTTAATGGTCTGACTGAGACTGGAGGAACCCAGAAAGCATAGCCCCCAGACTCTCTATTAGCCCAGAACTGAAACCATTCCAGAAGCCAACTCTTCAAACAAAGATTAGACTGGACTATGAGACATAAAATGATACTCGTGAAGAGTGTGCTTCTTAGCTCAAATAGATACACGAGACTAAATGGGCAGCTCCTGTCCGGAGGCAAAATGAGAAGGCAAGAACAGACAGGAGCTGGTTGAACAGATACGGGAAATGTGGGGTGGAAAGGAGTGTCATGGATTGAATTATGTCCCCCAGAAATATGTGTCAACTTGGTTAGGCCATGATTCCCAGTAATGTGTGATTGTCCACCATTTTGTGATTGTAATTTTATGTTAAAGTGGAATAGGGTAGGATTGTAACACCACCCTTACTCAGGTCACATCCCTGTTCCAATATAAAGGAAGTTTCCCTGGGGTGTGGCCTGCACCACCATTTATCTTACAAGAGATAAAAGGAAAGGGAAGCAAGCAGAGAGTAGGGGACCTCATACCACCAGGAAAGCAGTGCTGGGAGCAGAGAGCGTCGTTTGGACCCAGGGTTTCTGCTCAGAGAAGCTCCTAGTCCAGGGGAAGATTGACAAGAAGGGTCTTCCTCCAGAGCCAACAGAGAAAGCCTTCCCCTGGAGCTGACACCCTAAATTTGGACTTGTAGCCAACTAGACTATGAGAAAATAAATTTCTCTTTGTTAAAGCCATCCACTTGTGGTATTCTGTTATAGCAGCACTAGATAACTAAGACAACAAGTGTGTTGTCACATTATACAGAGAGAAACTAGGGTTACATAATAATGTGTGTATAAATGTTTGTATGAGAAACTAACTTGTACTGTAAACTTTTACTTAAAGTACAATAAAAAAATTTTTTTTTTTCTTCCTCCACAATTCAAGATCAAGGTCTGCACTGCTGTTTTTTGTAAAGAAGTTTTCTGGTAATTCTTGTACCTTTCCTTATGTGGCCACTTATTTTTAGGGAATTTATATGTTACCTCTAATTTCTTAATGGTATTTTCTTCAGTGCTTATTGAATTAATAAGGCTGTTAATTTTATGCTAAACAGCAGCAGATTCATTTTGTAGCTATATTTTTTTTATTAAGCTAGTGTTGAGGCCATTGATGGAGCAGGCATGACTTTCTTACACCGAGACATTTGAAAGGGATCAGATCAAAAGAAAATAATGTTTATTCCAAAAGAAAGATCTAAAATATTTATGTAAAATTATCAAAAAAAAAAAAAAAAGAGAGAGAGCTTTTGACTTCATCTTCTTTTTTTTTTTTAAAAAGAAGCTTTTTAGCTTTTTGTCACTTGATATTTTAAAAGCAAATGCACTCTACTTACCCAGTTAAATTATGGAAACCTCTGGGAATTTAGAAAATAAAATACAGTCAATAAATGAATATTTAGACAAAGTGTCATTCAACTTCCTGAAGAAAAGTGCATGACATCTTTGGATAACCATGACCCCATATGAAGTCAACTATTCATATGAAATGAACTGGAGCAGTTCATTGTTTTAAGTAGAAGCTTAACTCCAGAGACCTATGTGATGTGTTCTCCACCATTTGATCATCACTATAATCAAATGAGGGCCTAGATGGTGGAGTAGTCAGACACTTACGGTGGCCAATCTTACAACAAAGACCCGAAAACACAAGTGAATCAATTATATATGACAATCTAGGAGCCCTGAACATCTAAGGCAAAGTTGAGGAATTGGACTGAGTGGCAGAGGGAGGGAGAGACAGTTCAAAAGCAGTGAGGAGTTGCCAGACCTGACCCGGAGAGAGCCTGAGCCCTTCAGGCTTAATCAGCTCATGGGTGAGCCATGAGACAGGCAAGCAGCGGTACTTGGGAGGCACGTTTTCTGCACCAGGAGAGACCCAGTGGCAGAAACTCTACTAAGCCACCCAGAACCAGTGAGAAGAAGCCCTGGATTGGTGAAAGATAAGTGCTTGCATACGGCCTACCTACTGCGCAGATCAGAAACACCTACCTTAGGGAAAAACCTCTCCTGTTTACCTCCCCACTCCCTGCTCTGCACTGGGTCCTGGACCACTCGCTTCAGCAATTGCTGAGTCCCCTGGGCCAGACACAGGATCCATCACACGCCCCTGAGCCATTCTCCCTGCCTTGGAGAGTGAACAAATTAATGAACAGGAAAATTAAACTGCCTGCTCCCCGCAGCCAGGAACCCAGGGTAGGCACAGCTCCTTTGCCTAGGCACAGGCATAAGGGATCCACAGACTTTGAGTGCCTCTCCCCGCTCCAGAGACTTGTGTTGGCCCATTTCAACAGCACAGGCCCTAATTACCACAGTACAACCGAATATATACCTGATGTCTAACTTCACGTGTTTCAGCTGTGAAGTGGCAGGTTCGTGACATTTGACACTTGCTCTGCCCATTAAGCAGGGTCTTCACCTACCCACATCAGGACCCTGAGGACTGGTGGCTCCACCCACGCCACCTAGCCACCACTAAAGGGGCCCAAGAATAAGAGGTGCCCCCCAGTCCTTACAGCCAGCAGCATTGGGTGCTCATAGTCTGGCTGCAAAAACCACCCACCTACATGCTCTAGGGAACAGGGACATACCTTCCTCCTGGACCCTTTGGGGAGGCTGTCAGCCCCCTGCCTTGCTCAGGTGTGCCCCCTGCTGCAGCCAGAGGACTGTGCCTACACCAATCACCCATGCCTGTCTAGGACTGTAGGTGAGAGCCTACACCACACACTTGGTGGCCATCTACGTGGGCACCTGAGCTGAATCCATACAGCAGGAGTGGGTGGACTCCTGAGTTCACATACCTAGTAACAGATCTAACTGCCTGGTAACAGGACATTAGAGCTTCAAAGGTGCCAATAATCAAACTAGCTCATACAAGCAGCCTATTTGGGCATATCAAAACAAAACAAGAAGCTAGGACACAGGAAGCAAACGTAAAATAAATATAATAACTTATCGGTGGCTCGGAGACAACAGTCAATATCAAATCACATAAAGAGGCAATCCATGATGGCTTCAGCAAGCTCCCAAAATGAAGAACCTAGAAATTTTCCAGAGGAGGAAAATTTCATGGAATTACCAGAGACAGAATACAAAAGATTAATATACAGAACTCTTCAATAAATTAGGAAGGAAATTAAGCAAAGTGCAGACCTTGCAATAGAGGAAATTAAACAGATTAGAGAAGAGCATAATGACAAATTTAATAGGATGCAAGAATTCATAGAGAGACAGCAATCAGAAATCTGGAAGATTAACAATAAAATGTTAGAATTAGATAACTCAATAGAAAGTCATAGGAGGAGAGTTGAGGCAATGGAAGTCAGAATTAGTGAGATTGAAGATAAAGCACTTGACGCCAACTTATTTGAGGAAAAATCAGATAAAAGGATTAAAAAAATGAAGAAACCCTAAGAATTATGTGGGACTCCATCAAGAGGAATATCCTACGAGTGATTGGAGTACCAGCACAGGGGAATAACAGAAAATACAGAGAATTGTTGAAGATTTCTTGGCAGAAAACTTCCCTGATATCATGAAGGATGATGACAAGATATCTATCCAAGATGCTCATCAAACTCCACATAATGTAGATCCCAAAAGAATGTTACCAAGACATATTATAACCAAAAACTTGCCAAAACCAAAGATAAAGAGAGAATTTTAAGAACGGCTAAGGATAAACAAAAAGTCATCTATAAAGGAGAGTCAGTAAGAATACTCAGCAGAAATCATGCAGGCAAGAAGGCAATGGGATGACATATATAAAGCCTTGAAGGAAAACAATTGCCAGCCAAGAATTATATATCTAGCAAAACTGTCTCTCAAATATGATGGTAAAATTAGGGCATTTCCAGATAAACAGAAGTTTAGGGAATTTGCAAAAACCAAACCAAAATTACAAGAAATACTAAAGGGAGTCCTCTGGTTAGAAAATCAGTAACATCAGATAACAACCCAGACTAGAATACAGGACAGAGCAACCAGATATCAACCCAGATAGGGAAGTCACAAAAATAAATCAAAGCTAAAACACTGAAAATAGGGAAACAGCAATATGTAAAAGATGACAACATTAAAACAAAATAGAGGGACTTAAAAAATGTAGACATAGATTTTTCATATGCAGAAGAAGTCAAGGTGATATAAAGAAATAAAAGACTGATATAAACTTAGAGAAAAAAGGGGTAAATATTAAGGTACCCACAAAGGAAACTAACAATCCTGCAAGTCAAAATAAAAAACTAGAAAAATATAAAGACTCAGCAAACACAAAATCAAAGGGGAGCCCTGCTGGCATAGTGGTTAAGAGCTTGGCTGCTAACCAAAAGGTGTGCAGTTCGAATCCACCAGCCCCTCCTTGGACACCCTAAGGGACAGTTCTCTTCTGTCCTGTAGGGTCACTGTGAGTCAGAATCAACTTGACGGCAACGGGTTTGGTTTAATTTTTTATAATCAAATGTGGGAGTTATGTGGACGAATAGTTAATGCCCTATGACCTACATCTTTAAATAATAATATACCAACTTGGAGCTGACCCTCTGCATTTTTATTTATTCCTTGTGGTTTATAGGAAGTCAGAACTGAGTTTTGTGACCTATCCTTTCCCCAAATTCATTTAACTGGGAAATAAGACAGGGTGATGGTTTAAGTCTTTGTTCTTTGTTCAGAGAATGAAAATTCTTCCTGAATGTCAACTTGTGTAAATAATACAACTTTAAAAGCAGTTACTATAGGAACATTTAAATTCATCTAAACTGGCTCTTCACTACTTTGTGCTCTGCTACCAATTTTTCTGTTTCATTTTATGGACTCCTCTTTCTAATTTTCCCATTTATTGCATGGATGTTTGATGCATATAAATAGACATGAAAACCAATGTGTCTGTCCAGTTGCATGTACCGACTGCTGTATTCATGTCTTCCCCAGGCACGGAAGGAGCAGTGTTTGGGCACTCTGTAGAGACACCTCACATCAGAGCAGAACCTTCCCAAGACCTCAGGTAAGTGCTGGTCCTTGCACCTTCGTTATTCTTTCAGTTACTATCGATTGTCCTCAATATATAAAGAACTGAAATAGAAAATGTGCCACATACTTGTATGAACAAATCACATACCCTAGCTCCATGGTAAATAGTCAGGAATTTGGTGGAAGAAAAGGGAATGTCAGTTATTATTCTAAGCATCTTTAACATCTATCATCAAAAAGAACATTTTAAGATCTATTCTGAGTACAGTGCTGTCAGTGATGGCATAATGTCATATACCTACAAGAAAAACTATTTAATACGAGTATTATTCAAATTTATGCACCAACCACTAAGGCCAAAGAGGAAGAAATTGAAGATTTTTATCAACTTCTACAGTCTGAAATTGATCAAACATGCAGTCAAAATGCATTGATAATTCCTGGTGATTGGAATGTGAAAGTTGTAAACAAAGAAGAATCAGTAGTTAGAAAGCATGGCCTTGGTGATAGAAATGATGCCAGAGATCACATCATAGAGTTTTGCAAGATCAATGACTTATTCATTAGAAATATTTTTTCAGCTACATAAACAGCAACTGTACACATGGATCTCACTGGATAGAATACATTGGCGTTAAATCAACTACATCTGTGGAAAGAGACCATGGAGAAGCTCAATATCATCAGTCAGACAAGGCCATGGGCCAACTGTGGAATAGACCATAAATTGCTCATCCGCCATTTCAAGTTGAAACTGGAGAAAAATAAAACAAGTCCACTAGAGCCAAAGTATGACCTTGAGTGTATCCAACCTGACTTTAGAGACCATCTCAAGAATAGATTTGACACCTTGAACACTAATGATCGAAGGCCAGATGAGATATGGGATGACATCAAGGACATCATAGCTGAAGAAATCAAAAGGTTATGAAAAAAGCATAAAAAAAAAAAAAGAACTCATTGCTCACTAGTTGAGTAACACAAATTCAAGCAAGCTAGTGAAAAATATCAGGAGAGGGTGGCCTTCTTTATGTGATCGTGGAATTTTTCTGTAAGTGCAAAATACTAGTTATTTACCCCAAGTTTGGGGAGAGTTGAAGAGTATGTGTAGACAGCATCTCATAGTGTGCTCTAGTCTTGATTAATGTCTCTTTTCTCAGCTAGAAATTCAACATTTTTGTGTAATTATTCATTTTATCACTCTCTACCAAAGTTGTGAGTTCCGTAAGAACAGGATCCACATCTTCCTTGCTCATCCTCATTTCTATAGTAGCAAGCACTGTATCTCACATATAATAATGTTTGACAAGCATTTGTTAATTTGCATTATGGAAATTTAGCAAAAATGAGTAACAAGGAAATGAACTAACTGAACGTGATATAAGGATTGTGGCATCAGTTGGAAAGAACATTGACTCCAAGTTTTGAATTGTATTTTAATATAGATACAAGACTTAACTAATTGATTTAATAAAACTTTAAAAAATTGCAATGTTCAAAAAGAAATATTTTTACTTCTAATCACTAATTATGACACATTTTGCAATTTTCACTCTGAAAAGCCAACCGCCAAAAGAGGAACAGAGCCAACTGCTAATTAATTATCTTGCTGACATGGCTCAAAATTCATAAATGTGAATACGAGTTAAATTATAATTAATATATATTCTTTCTGGTTTTTATTTTTAATTTTCTAATTATTCATCAATTATTTAAATACTGCACTAAGCCAGGTTTATCTGCTAGTGCAGAAAGCAGACTGGCAACCCCTGAGATGAAGGTTACTGATCTAAATTCCAAAGCTGAATCAGAAGCAAAGCACAGTAATGATGGGGGTTTTCAATTATTCATTTGTGTACTGAAGATTAAAAGCAGAGTGGGTGAGAAGATCTTTATAAGTCTTGCTGACAATTTTCCTACCAGAGCAATAAGAATTACTTCTAGTCAGCAACTAATTCTAATCTACAAGATGTGATTGGTTGGCCAAGTAAATAAAATGGGAATTTGGGGAGTAGGTAAGCATGTTGTCTTCGGTTTTGTTATTGTCAAGAATAAAAAATATTAGGAAGGGATATTTCAAAAAGTTTATTATAGAATGTAGATAATATATTTTGATGTGGAAAAGATAATGGCTTTCTATCATTTATTTATTCAACACATGCTTGATGAGTCCTTAGTATATGCCAAGACCTGTGTTGTTTTCATGTGCATTTTAAACCTGCATATATAGATTTTCTTTAATTTCATATATACCCAAAAAACCAAACCCATTGCCTTTGAGTCAATTCCAACTCGTAGTGAGACTATAGGACAGAGTAGCACTGCCCCACAGGGTTTCCAAGGAGTGGCTGGTGGATTTGAACTGCCAACCTTTTAGTTAGCAGCCAAACTCTTCACCACTTAACTCTTAACCAGGGCCCCAGAAGGACATATTATTGTTTTGTACTAGAGATCTATAATTTAAAAGGCTAAGAAATGCATTCTTTAGCAATATTGTCGGTAAAGACAAAATAGTATGTTTTCTGGAATAACCAAAGTATGAGTGGTCTTTTTTATTTCTTAGATTAATATATAGCTAAATTATTGCAATTCAAAAGAGTTTTTGTACTCTATGGTGAGAAGTGATGAAACCCATTTCAAATGCCCATTGCCCAAAGATTATTATTGTCTCATTTCCATTAAATGTTATAAGAATAATTTTTTAAAATCTTGAATTGGAATCAGTAAACTAAATTAATATGTAATGACATAATTGCCATATTTTTATTTTTCTCATTCTTGTAAGAATACAAATTAAAACTAAAATCTGGACCAATATGCAATATTACGATAAATGAAGAAAAGATTGACGTTGTCAAGCATTTCATTTTACTTGGATCCACAAGCAATGCCCATGGAAGCAGCAGTCAACAAATCAAATGGCACATTGAGTTGGGCTAATCTGCTGCAAAAGACCTCTTTAAAGTGTTAAAAAGCAAAGATGCCACTTTGAGGACTAAGATGTGCCTGACCCAAGCCATGGTGTTTTCAATTGCCTCATATGCATGTGAAAGCTCGACAATGAATAAGGAAGACTAAAGAAGAATCGATGCCTTTGAATTATGGTGTTGGCAAAGAATATTGAATATACATACCATGGATTGCCAGAAGAATGAACAAATCTGTCTTGGAAGAAGTAGAGCCAGAATTTTTATTAGAAGCAAGGATGGCAAGATGTACTTTGGACATGTTATCATGAGGGACCAGTCCCTGGAGAAGGACATCATGCCTGGTAGAATAGAGGGTCAGCAAAAAACAGGAGGACCCTGAACAAGATGGATTGACACAGTGGCTGCAGCACTGTGCTCAAGCATAACAATGATTGTGAGGATGGCGCAGGACCAGGCAGTATTTTGCTGTGTTGTACGTAGGGTCACTATGAGTCCAAACCAACTCAGTGTCACCTAACAACAACAACAACCAGGAGAAGGAATAAATCCTTCTTGGAAGAAGTACAACCAGAATGCTCCTTAGAAGCAAGCATGGTGGGAAATTTGTCTCACGTACCTTGGACATATTATCTGGAGGAGCCTGTCTTTGGAGAAGGACATCATGGTTGGTACAGTAGACAGTCAGCAAAAAAGAGGAAGACCCTCAGGGAGATGGATTGACACAGTGGCTGCAACAATGGACTCAAACATAGCAGTGATTATGAGGATGGTGCGGGACTGGACAGTGTTTTGTTCTGTTGTACATAGGGTCGCTATGAGTCAGAATTGACTTGATGGCACCTAACAACAACAACAACTATGTCTCCAGCTTTGTGTTAAATATTCAGCAAGAACAAGACATGTGGTGCTTAAATTTCTTCAGTTCTGCTTAAATTTCTATTTACTGATTTCATCTTACAACTTAGTTTAAAAGAATTTGAATTCTTCTTTCCTCAGTACGCTGAGAATTCTTCTAGAGAACTAGGCCATCTTTTTTTCAAAATTAATAATTGCATAACTCTCTAATAACAAAATCCTGTTGCAACCCTAGTATATAGAAACCAGAAAAGCAAAATTGCTTTGGGAAAACAGAGTAGGGAGGTTGGAGTTCAACGTTTGTCCTTCTCTCTGCTATAATCCCTGATCACCCACTATAATCTTTGTTCCGACTGTTTTTTTAAATGTATGCTTTTAAATTGAAAGAAAACTTAGTCTTTTATATTTTTCTAGGTATTTACCATTTCTGATGATGTTCATTCTTTACTAAAAATTTGATAACTTATCTAGTATCATTTTCCTCCAGCCTAAGCATTTCTTTCAATGCAGATCTGTTTACAACAAAATCTTTTGTTTGTTTTTTAATATAAGTCTTCTCTTTGTTTTGTTTTGCCTTTATTCTAAAAGGATAATTTTGCTGGCTATAAAATTTTTGTTGACAGTTTTTTGTTCTTTTAAAACTTTAAAGAGATTATATCACTTTCTTCTAGCTTTCACAGTTCATAATGAAAAGTATCCATTTAAATCATTAAACACAATTTTTTTTCTGACTAATTCCAAGATTTTCTCTTCATTTTTGTTTTTTCAGCAATTGGACATTGATGTGCTTAGGCATGTTTTTCGTTATAGTTATCCTGCTTTAGTTTCATGACACTTCTTGAATCTGTAAATTACGTTTTTCCCAAGACTGTGGAAATTTCCAGACATTGTGACTTCACATATGTTTCCTGACTTATTCTCTTTGTTTTTTCTTTCCAGTACTCCAGTTACCTCATATTAGGCCTTTTGATATTACAGATTCTTGAGGTCATGGTTAGTTTTATTCATTTATTTTTCCCTGATAGGTCCATAAGCTAGCTTCAAAAACTTGTTCAAAGGTACAGTGTTGACATGTCATGGGGTTGTTAACCATTGTCATAGGGCAATATGTGTACTAACTGTTTAATGAGAAACTATTTGTTCTGCAAACCTTCACCTAAGGTGCAAAAAAAAGAAAAAAGGAAAGAATTATCTATGTGAGATCAAATTGACAACAGCAACTCAAAAGGTTTAATGGGAAGCCTAGGGGCCAGTAAGTCGGAGATAATGGTGATGGAATAATCTGGAAAAAGTTAGTGAGAATAGCAGCACAATTGGAAGAATGTAATCGATGTTACTGAATTGTACATGTAAAAACTTTTGAAATGGTGTAACTTTGGCTATGTATATTTTCACCAGAAAAAAGGTCCTCAAGGTTGAGAAGGGAGAGCGTTGACACATCGTGGGGTTCTTAATGAATGTCATAAAACAGTATGTGTGCTGTTTAATGAGAAACTATTTGTTCTGTAAACCTTCATCTAAAGTACAATAAAAAAAATTTTTAAAAAAAGACCTCTTGAAAAAAAAAAACTTGTTCATAATTTTGCTTTAATCTTCATATTTATAAGAATTATTTGACTACTGGCATATGTTCATTTGAGAATAGAATTAAGAAATCCCTCAGTATTAAGTTTTTATTGCATACTGTTTAACTGCACACTCCTACCATAATTAATTTTAAATTACTAAGATATATTACTCACCTGAATATTGGATGCTATTCAAAACAGACAGTGCTATTTGTAATGAAATTATATTTTATTTTTTTTCTTTTCTCTTTTTTAAATTTTTTAATTTTTTTTCTTTTTCTTTTTTGCGTAAGCTGCACTGGCCTCCCCAGTATTGTGCATTGTCCTACCCCTCACCAAATCACCACCCATCCGTTGTCTGTTTAGTGTTTTCCATCCCCACTCCTCCCCTCCCTGTATTTTATTTCTTAATAATCACTACACTTAATTTTACCAAGACTAGCAAACTATAAAGTTGAAACCAGCTTAATCACTTCAGCAGTTCCAGTATTTGGCAATAATGTAAAAACTGCTACCAATGTTGAATGATTATTACATACCATGTGATATGTAAAAATCACAATATAGTTATGGAAGGTACATGACTTAGGCAACAAAATTAGTTGCACAAGAAATGAAAATATTTCTGTAAAACTTAATTTACATATTTAAACTCCTTTGCCCTGGATATCAGAAACTAAACCCTAGCCAATTCAGTTCTCTACACTTTTCCTAGCTTGCATGCAACCTAGGGGGAAAAAGTTCAAAAGAGCTTTGACAGCTTCTCTGTCATTTGTGGCAGAAGATACTGCTTAATGAAAGAGGAAAAGCCAAGTGGTACAAGGAGGAAATTAATATTTCAGACTACTGTTCTGCCACAGATGCGGCAGTCTGCTCCCGTCAAGATTCCAGCCTTGGAAACCCTATGGGGAAGTTGTACTCTGTCCTGTAGGGTCGCTATGAGTTAAATTGACTCAATGACAGCGGGAAATTCTGCTATATACTTATCTCCCATGATTCTCAAAGTAATTCCACAAGAAAACAGTATTATTGTCAATTTAAAGATGAGGAAATTAAGCCTTATTGTGGCTGGCTAACTTGCTCAGCTCTCAATCCTGACTAGGATAAGACAGATCAGAGAATAGGTATTGTCTAAGTCAGTGTTAGAAAAGCACTTTCCTCTGGCTACACTGGCAATGGATACTTGAGGTATAAACTGAATATGAATACAATAAGCATTTTCATGGTAAATAATCAATAAAGGAAACTTCCATGTAGTTCAGTCTAATTGGAGTTCTAGCCTGGGGCTTAAAGCCAATCCTCAGAGTAGTAAAAACTCCCTTTTGGCCAAAAAAAAAAAAAGGGGGGGGGGCGGACAAAGCTTTGTCACAGTTAATATGGGTGTTTAACTATCATTTAATAGTAATAATCTCAGGCCATTATACTTGGAAACAAACTAAACCATATTAATTACTTGATAAAATAAGTGTTTGTTCCTTACATTTCTAGGTTCATTGGTTTGTGTTTCCTTGAGTGTCAGATTCCTAATATTTAAGAACGTTAATCTATTTCAATTAAACTCCTATCTGACTGCTTTGTGAATAGTTTACTCGTACCCAAACTTATATAATCACAATCAATGTTATGAATAATGAACAAGAAATTGTAGTGGTCTTAGATAAACTGTTGAAGATGGTGTATATTTGGGTGGTGTACAGGGGTTATCTATTATAAAATGCACATTTTAACATTCAGATTTTGAAATGTAGTTACTGTATACTAAAGTGTTAATAGTGGAGATTACTAACTTAATAGGAAGTGTTACTAAGGATTACGAATGATGTTTTTCTTTTCTAGTTTTCAAATTTTCTATGAAAAATCTGTGATATTTATTTTAATAAGAACAACAAAACAAATGTTCCCTAAAAAAAAGAAAAAAAAGAAAAAGTTTTCAAAACCTGGAGCACTCCAGGGATTTTATGAAGGTATCCAAGAGGCCCATAGAGATGAAAGTTTCCAGTTTGCTTTGGTGAGAGAGGCAGACGATTTGAAAGCACTGAAGTCACCTCCTCTAGATGCTGGTTCTACTTCTTCAATATTACTTTTAGGTCTTGGTTTCACTACTCAGAGGGAGCTGTTTGTGTTTGGTGAAAATTTACACAGGAAATTATGTTCTCATTTAACAGTTTCTATACATATTATTCAGTGACATTGGTTACATTCTTCACAGTATGTCAGCATTCCTGTTATTTCCATTTTGATGGTTCTGTTTTTGTTAATCTAGCTTCCCTGTCCCCTCAAGCCTTCTCATCTTTGGTCTAGGGTAAATGTTAACCATTTGGTTTCATCTAAATGATTATTTTGAGGAGCACAGTACTCTATGGTGATATTTATTTTATGGGCCAATCTGTCATTTGGCTGAAAGGTGACCTCTGGAAGTGGTTTGAGTTCCAAATTTAAAGAGTATCTCAGGGCGATAGTCTCAGGGGTTCGTATAGTCTCTACTGGTCCAGTAAGTTTGGCCTTTTTCTTAGGAATTTGAGTTTTGTTCTACATTTTTCTCCATCAGAGTTCTATTTGATGTGTTTCTCTCTGCAAAACCACTTTGAATCTATTGTCTTGAGGGAAGTCAGTTGCTCTGGATTATGGTCAGTGTGAGCCTGGGACGACCCTTGTCCCAGTGTCACATGGTCTAGAGGTGCACAGCCAGTTGCATCCCAAGCTGAGCATTTACCCAAGAAGACCGACTTATGGATACTTCCTCTTCGCTCAATCAGTGTGCTTTCCAGCTGTAGTCTAGTTTCTGTATTCTGTCTTCATTTGCTCTTTTCTCTAGTTTTGTATTTGAAGATAACTTTGAAACTTTCTCCCAGTTACTTTTTTTTTTAGGGACCACTATCTAAAATACTTGATTTTTTGTCCTCTAATTTTTAAGTAGTAAACATTTTAATCACCTCTTTCTCAGACTAGAGTTCTTCATTATGGAGCATTTCATTGGGCCAGCAGAGGTCAGTTGATGTAGGAAATGTCTCACTTATTCATTTAAATTAGTGTCTAGAGGTGTAATGAATACTTTGAAAAATTTCAGGTTTACAAAATTTTGCCCATGCAAGTTTAAAATTTTGCAATATTAATGATTTCATTAAAGTCCTTACATCTTTGCAAAGCAGGGACTCTTTCTTGAGGGATATTTATGGGCTAAGAATGTACTAATTTATTTATTAAAACTCCATCATTAATATTGAAAATGTATAAAATATTTAAACAAGTAAACTTACCATGGCCTACTTCCCATTCCATTATGAATGGAAACAACATAAAACACAGTGACTAAATCATTATATAAATGAGAGTGAATAATTGATGTTAACAAACGAAGAGTTTTATAAAGAGCCAAAAAATAGAGAAGGCAATCAAAACAAAATCATACTAAAACTCATTTTGGCTTTTATTAAAAAAAAAACAAGAATTTTAATTATGCAAGCCTGTTTTGTTTTGATCGATTAAGGTTATCTTTTAATTTGTCATAACATATTCTCTTTTCTATTAAGGATTCTTTTGTCTTCCCCTCAGGCTTGAATCACCGACTAGGTCCTTGATAATGGAAGCACCTCGAGGGGTCCAGGTGAGCGCTGTAGCAGGAGACTTCAAGGCCACCTGCAGGAAGGAGCTCCATTTGCAGTCTACAGAAGGGGAGGTGAGTGTGGGAGTGGGGAGAGAGCTTCTTCTCAAACATACAGAATTGCTTCATGTCATGGTTTAACTTCTGATAATACTAGTTCTCTTGAATATTAAATTTGGTAAACCTAACGTCACTTTTATGGAAACCCTGGTGGTGTCGTGGATAAGAGTTCAGGGGCTAACCAAAAGGTCGGCAGTTTGAATCCACCAGGGGCTTGCTCCTTGGAAACCTTATGAGGCAGTTTTACTCTGTGCTGTAGGGTTGCTCTGAGTTGGAATTGACTCGACAGCAATGGGTTTAATGTTACTTTTAGGGAGCTCTGTTGGCCCAGTGGTTAAGTGCTTGGCTGCTAACCCAAAGGTCAGAGATTCGAACCCACAGCCTCTCTGCCATAGAAAGATGTGGCAGTTGGTTTCCAGGATTTAGAGCCTCAGAAGACCTATGGGGCAGTTCTACTGTGTCCTACAAGGTCACTATGAGTCAGAATGGAATTGACTGCAAGGGGTTTGTTTTTTTTTTTTTTGGTTTAATGTTACTTTTTAAGGTAAAGCTCCGTTTATGTTCTACTTGAAATCACTACTCACTCACAAGTGAACCACATCTAAATTTCTGTGATTTCAGAATTGGTATATAAACATAATTACTACCAAGATAGTATCAAGATTGAAGGCAGTATTTGTCTTTTTAGTTCTATTTTGATCTTTAAAAAGTACTTTGAATGTTTGCTTGTTTGTTGACCTACATTTCTGTTGAAATAGTAGCTATATTTTTATAAAAAGAAAATAAAAGTTAATTTTGCTATTTACCACAATCAGTATTCCCTGTAGAAGGAGATGTATATTAACATTTAATTTCATGTCGCTTTTTCCCCCAAGAATCTCCTCTAAGTCTTGTTATCATTAGATTAACGATCATCTGTCTTTTCTCTCTGACTGCTTTAAAGATCCTTTTGGCTGTGGTGTTCCACTGTTTAACTATAGTATGATACATAATTTCAATCACCTTGCCTGTGATATATATTGTGCTCACTGTGTCTGCAAATTGACATTTTGGTCAAATCTGGAAATTCCTCAGTATTAGCTCTTTAGATACTACCTTTCTCCCTCTTTCTCTATGGTATTTGCCTGGAACTCTGAGGAAATGTTACGCATTTTCATTCTCTTACCCTCCAAATCTCTTCATATTTTCTATCTCTTTATTTCCCTGCCTCACTCGGTTTATTTATTCAATCTATTTTCTCAGGTTCCTCTTCAGTATCTAATACCTTATTTAATCCAGACATTGAACTTTTACTTTTAATGATTATGGTTTTTCCTTTCTAACATTCTCATCTATTTCTTTTCAAATCCTTATACAGGATACATACTCTTTTCTATGTACTTTTATTACAATTCCCAAAGTTCCTGAAGGTCCAAATCTGTTGCTTTGCTGTTTCTGATTCATTCCCTTAGTACTTTTTTTCTTCATTTGTTTATTTATTTTTTAATTGTGAGATCACCAACATCAAGTCGAAAATAAAAAGAATGAAACGATAATTTAAGAGGGATGCTCTGAAGCCGTCTGTGCCTATTCAGCTGTGAAGATGAAGATTAACATATATTAATAGAATCATAAGGAGGGTGTTCTTTTCTTACCTTTACGTTATTATCACAATTATTTATTTAAATATTTTAAAGTATAAATCTTGAGTATATTTTAAAGTATACATTTTGCCTTTATTTTTTGGGTGAGGGGGAAGGGAGGGTTAGCCTAGCCCTTTACTTCTGACGATGCTTCTTTTCAAATTACATGCATATAGTTCCAGGGAAAACACAGAGTTGCTTCATGAGATGGTTTAACTTAGGATAATATTAGTTCTTTTTGAATATTAAATTTGGTAACCCTAATATTGCTTTCTTAAGTCAAAACTCTGTCTACATTCAACTTGAAAGAAATTCATTCATAAGTCAGCCACCTCTAGATGCCTTTTTTTTTTTTTTTAATAAATGGACTTACTGGCAAGACCATGTTAGGCTCTTATGGTTATTATGACATAAGTGACCAAAAGAAACATTTATAATATTTTTAAGACATACCCATATATCTATTCAAAATTACTTTCCACTGCAGTTACAAAATACAATCCTTAGTTTACCACAGCAAGTCAGAAATTTCTTTTAAACAGCTTGCACTCTTTTTTAAGAGTTGCTTTTATTATGCTAATCTTTTCATTCAAATTATTTATAATGAATGATCCCATATTAAATAGTGGTAGATATTAATCTCTCTTCCGTTCCTATTTATAAACTACTTATATTCTTTTATTCAATGCATCAGCAGAATCCTTTGATTCAATTACAGGTTTAAATTTAATTGCTGTAAATAAATCGTGGTCAGAGGGTTTCAGCTCTGGTCATTTTTTTATATTAAAAAAAATAAAAGTACTTAAATGCCTAGCCTTTTATATTAGAATTAAATATGATGAAATGTTCCTATGGAGAAATGTGAAATAATAGAACATCTTTGTATTTGCTACATTGACTATGTCACAGAAAGGCAGATAGATCATTTACTAAGTAACATAGATATATGGTCCTGCCCTTAGTTAGTTTTCAAGCTAATTAATGTCAGAGCAGAAATGGCACTGAGATATTCAGACTAATGAATGGCATGCATTAAGAATGAAATTGTACACAAAATTCCACAGTGTAGAAGGTCCAAAGTCATTTGAGACATAATGTTGCAAGGAAATTCAAATTTAGCTCAGAAGACAGCATGAACCATGACTGTAGATAGAATATGTAAGTGTTATAATAGTATATGCGATGCAATAACATATAATAGCATGTATGTTACAGTATTACAGAAGAAGGAGAAAACAATTCTGATTAAGAAAATTGATTCTGATTTTCTAGGACATTGATAGTCCTGATTCCAATTGGTAAGAATGAGATACAAGAATCCTTGGTAGAAAGATAACAGTGGATTGTGACCTAAATGCTCTGGAAGTGATATTCTGGGAACAGGAAGAGTTTTGTAACCAGTAAGTTATATGGATTATGGGGCAATAAAGAGTAGAAATGTCAGTTTTAGAAGTTGGAAAGTGGAAAACATCATGGTAACTGCCTTAGCCAGGCAGAAATGTACAGGCAAGCCCATCCATGCTGCAGAAACCAGGAAAGGCTCAACAGTGTTGAGTTTGAGGGAATCAACATATTAAAAAAACAAACAAATTAAAAAAAAACGCATTGCCATTGATTCGATTCCAACTCATAGTGACCCCATAGGACAGAATAGAACTATGGAAGAGCCATAGATTTTCCAAGGCTGTAAATCTTTACGGGAGCAGACTGCCTCATCCTTCTCCCATGTAGCAGCTGGTGGGTCCAAACTACTGACCTTCCCATTAGCAGCTGAGCACTTAACCAATGCACCACCAGGGCTCCTTCAATAGATAACACGCCTTTTTACATCATAACTTAGTTTTCTATCTCAAGCCAAGAATTAACCATATTCTATTTCTAAGGGTCCTTTTCATTCTAACTTATTTTTTCCTTTCACATCTGAAAAAATTTGCTTCTTAAAAAAAAAAAGTATTTTCTTTCTCTTTGCTTTCCTGTCACTTAACCCAGAAGTAGATATAGGGAAATGCACTTCAGTATTTGAAGCCTACAAACAAAAATTTTAAATATACTTTCTTTGAGTATTAACAAATACAGTCATTCATTTATTTTATAATTTATTCATTTATTCAACAACTATTTGCATTATATGGATGGTGTGTGTACTGGGTCAAACGCTGGGAAGTTATTAAAAAGAATCACACATGGTTCTATGTTTAAGGACCAGATAATGTAGTAGGAACCTAGGACATCAATATGACTATAAAATAGCATATGGTATCCCCAGAATAAGATATTAAAAAGAATAAAATGCTTAGAGAGGGCCAAGTAAGAAGAGTACTTTGAGCTTGGAGCATCAGGGAAGGGTCCATGGATGAGAAAGCAGATGAACCGGTCTTGATGGAGGGTAGCCTTTGTACCCCAGAGCAGAGAGACAAGTTCACACTAAGATTAATTAACTCAGTTAACATGTACTGGCACAGTTCTATGTACAGTTCTAAAGCTCTGAATAAAAACAAGCCCAGCCTTCATGGATTTTATTTGCAAGTTATAAAAGAACAACTGCATACTTCATATAATGTTAGGAAATGATCGTTACTATAAAGTTATTGTTAATATAAAGTAAAGCTGTTAAGCAGAGATTAGTGGATTAGTGCTCTTTTAGATAGGGACGTCTGGAAAGTCCATTTTGAGAAGGTGACCTTTTAGTAAAAATCTGAATAAAGTAATGCTCACATCTAAACTAATTTAAAATATATATGGATAGGCATATGGATCCTTTAGAAAAAGGCTTATTTGCAATACAGAATAGATTCATGTGGTTCAAAATTTTAAAAACTATAAATAGGTGAACAGTGGAAATCTCTCTGTTCCTCAACCACTCAGTATCTAACCCCTACCCCTCTTGGAGAAAAGAATTTCAAGCTGAGGAAATGGGGAATGCAAAAGTCGTGAGATCAGAGTTCTTTGGGTATGTTTGAGAAAAGGCAAGAGCTGGAGCAAGAGGTATTATAGAAAATAATGTTAGATAGATAGGCCAGATCATGTAGGACCGTAGGGTGTGGAAGGAACCAGGATTGATTCTAAGTGTGCTGGGGGGATATTAGAGAGTGCTGAGAAGTGGGGTGACATGATTTGACGTGCATGTTTTTGAAGTCCACCCTAGCAATATGCAAGCTAGACTGTAAGAAGACACACGGCAGTGGGAGGCCAGATGGGGGGTGATTGCAGGAGCCCCAATAAGAGATGACTAGGACTCAGAGGAGGGCGAAGATGTAAAAATGGTGCTGTGAATTTAGGAACACCTTTAAGCAGGAAGTGGTTACACAACAAAACAATCAAGAAATAACTGAAGAGAGCTGTCTGCTTTGCTCACATAAATTTGCAATCTTTTTTTCTTTTTTTAGAACTTTACCCCATGTGTTTTCAAAATCATATGGTCACTGTACCTGCCATGGTTCAGAACCATAATTTGGAAAAAGTGAAGTAATTTCACAAGTTAGAAGATGTAGCAAAGTGGGTCTTAAGTACAAGTCCTATCTTTCATGGAGACTTCAAATCTGATTATATCCAATAACCATCTGTTGTTTCCTATGCAGATTATTTACTTGGTGTACATATTAGGGAGCCCTGGTGGCGCAGTAGTTAAGAGTTCGGCTGCTAACCAAAAGGTGGGCAGTTTGCATCCACCAGCTGCTCCCTGGAAACGCTATGGGGCAGTTCTACTGTGTCCTATAGGGTCGCTAGGAGTCAGAATCGACTGGACATGGCAACAAATTTATTTATATATAAGTGTGTCTATATATAAACACACACACACACATATATAGACACACACACATATAGACACACACGTACATACACACACATATATACACACATATACCCACAAACATATGTATATATTCATATATATATACACACACATATATACATATTAGACTGTAAGTCGTCATGCTTTCGTGCATATTGAAACAGTGTTGTTGTTTCTTGTTAGCTGTTGTGGAGTCAGCCCCAACTCAGGGCGACAGCATGCACAACGGGACATGATCACTGTGAGCCACACAGTTTTCATTGGCCGATGTTCACAGATAGAAGCCCAGGCCTTTCTTCTTAGCTCTCTTACTCTGGAAGTTCTGTTGAAACCTGTTCAGTGTCACAGCAACATGAAAGCCTCCATGACAGATGGTGGTAACTGCACATGAGGTGTACTGGCCAGGAACCAAACCCAGGTCTCACCCATGGAAGGCGAGAATTCTTTCACTAAACAGCTGCTTCCTATTGAAACAATAGATCAGGGAATAGTTTTTATTTTTACTGTTATTAATTGCCTACTGCTTCAGTAATGTCATCTCCATGAACATCCTCATTTCTTTGTGTATTGTTTAGGTTAAACATGATTAAGAAGCTAAATTGAAAGACTGACCAAATCAGTTTCCTGTGGTGTTTGAATAACTGGGTTGGCCCTTTAAGCAGATAACGCAATATTGCCTTTCAGATGTAGGACTTTCTGTCAGAATGCAGGATGTCTCAAGGGCGAAGTAGCTGCAGAGCATTTGGGCTATACGGTAGGAATGTAATTTGTTTGTTGAACAAAGCATGGCCGCTAAGCCAATAGAATTCTTTGTTGTTTAGTCTTCCTTATGAGACCATGCTGTAAAGCTCTGAGGGATGTAGAATGCTAATATAAATTAAAATGCAATTTCTTTTCCCCTAGATATTTTTAAATGCAGATACAATCCGGCTGGGAAATCTACCGACGGGCTCCTTCTCAACTTCTTCATCTAGTTCCTCAAATTCTCGACAGACGGTATACGAACTCTGCGTCTGCCCCAATGGCAAACTTTACCTTTCTCCAGCAGGAGTAGGCTCCACTTGTCAGTCCAGTAGCAACATCTGCTTGTGGAGCTGAAATGACTGATTTCTCCTCACACCAGAATAGCCTTTTGTTCCTGTCCGTCTGCTTCACAGTTCTGCTCGGTTTCTCTTGTGATCAGGCCAGAGCTTCTTCAAATGGTCCACAGAGCAACTTCTTCCTGTGTAAGCGGGATTCACCACCACCTTCTCTGGTGATTTACTGTACTGCTCAACACAGAGCGTGTGAATGACACAGCAGTGGAAAACATCGTCTTCAGCAGGAAAACTGGATCATAACTTTGCTCAAAAGGGAGAATAACATAGGTGCCTTTGCTACATGAAGTGAAGCACATAGTTTTAGATTTTTGCAGGGCCCGGATATGAACTGCACATATATACATTACACAGATGAAATTCCCAGTATCCAACGGCAAGATGAAATGGTAGACCCTGTATGAAACTGACTCTACAGTCTGAAAGCACAATTTTCCATTCATCTTTTTGGATGTAAACTTTTATCCCTGAATTTTAAAATTTTGAAGCATTATGTAATGCTTGCTTTACTAAAAGTCAAATTCAATACATGGTTTTTAATGAAATGAAACACACAAGAAAAAAGACAGAATCCTTCCCTGAGTTTTGTTTCTTCAAATTCAATATGTTGTTACTCTTTCTCTACTAAATCTAGAATTTTATACATTAGGTGATTTTGAAAGCACTCAGCAATATAATCTTTACAGAAGTAACAAAATGCCATTATACTGTCATTCGTCCGATCGGAATGGCCTTATATAGTATTTACTTGGCTATTGCATGTGACGTATTTGCTTTTAACTAAACATCTAGTTTATTGCAATATAAGGTAGGATTACGAGGGACATAGTGATGGTGTGGAATCCATACATCATTTATTTAAAAAAAAAAAATCACATGCTGTTCTTTACAGTTAGGTTCAAAGAGTACAATTTTTGTTTGCCCCATTCACTTTATAGTTGAACTTAACTGCTAAGATCCAAACATTCTCTAAGTAAATAAATACTAATGCGATGCTTAATGCTGAGAATGGATTCACTTCCCATTGGAATATCATCTTCAAAACTAGTCTCTCTTTATTTTTATTGAAGGTTAAGATTATCTTAGTAATTACATTAAAAATACATGATGAATCAGTGACAAAAAAGACAAATGTTAAGAAACATTTTGAAAATGTGTTTACACCATTTGATTTATATTTTAAGGAAAGTAGTCACATTTCTATTCAGCTTTTAAGATTTAATTACTTTTAGTGGGCTGTTAAAGTAGCCTAACGTTAGAAATCCTTGTTCCTTCCATTCTTCACTGCTCATTTTTGTAAATTAGCTCCTAGTGAATAACTCCACAATGCTGTAGGTTTATCACAGCACTCCTTAACCAGAATTCTTGACATATGGGACCCAAGAATGTAAAGCTGTACTAATTATCTCCTATTATGGGAAGATGACTTGATTAATACAAGGTAAGTCCTTGACTTCCACAAGCCGTTCACTCTTTTTTCTCATGCACACTATTACAGGTGTGCAAAAGCTTCACTTTGGGGGTTCTTGGCTGTAGAAACTTTGGGGTTCAGGTCTCAACAGCACAGAGTGAAGGGGGAGAGTGGACCCTGTTGAAGTAATTTGGTTAGTGAAAGGAGAAAAACTAGCTAATGCAAGCAGTCAGGTGAACCATTTGACCAGATAATCTAGTTTGGAATATTCATCTGACTGAATAGTTTTAAAAAGTCCATTCCACCAAATGCTTTCTGTACTCAGGAAGAGAGTCAGAAAGCTAGTTCTGTTATACTTTTAAAATAGAACTTAACTTGTATTTTGGGATTACCACATAAACTTTAAATCAACATTGGTGTAATAATTAAAACATACAATTGGTTAAGAAGTCATGTTGTAACTAACACAAGCATTCAGTTTATCTAAGTTAACATGTTATATTTTAATAAGAGGAATTCTCACATTGGACTTTGCAAAATACTCTCACAAAGTGTAATGCAAGAAGTTTTAAGAAATTATGGGTGCTAATCACTATACTGTGGACTTTTTAGGAAAAAACTATGTATTACTTTGAAACATTCACGGTCTAAACATCCCTGAATTAAAACAATTAGATAGTTTCCTAGTCAAATGGAAATAATTCTTTTGATTAGTAACAATTCTTATTTCTAATTCAGCTCTTGTCTTGCACTAAAGTAAGGCTAAATAAGAACCATGTGCACCTGTCCCGACTTACCTACACAGTAGATTTAAAGACACAGTCAGTAACACATCTCGTTTGTAACCAGGGGACTGCCTTACTCAACTTTACAACAAAAGTGTTGAATAAAATGGTATCCTTGAGGCTCCTTCCAGCTCTAACATGATCTAACTCCAAGAACGGTTATTATAGGATGGGGAAAACGCCACTGAAAATTTAAATTATTTGCCCCACTCAGAGAAAAGATGAAAAAGTCAGTCGTAACAAAGGTACAGTTCCAGTGAGGGGCTGTCAAATTTTTAATTCAAATATATTCTGAAAAGTTACAGACATAATTCAAAGATATTTCTATAAAACTAATAATAATATATATAATTTAAATGTAGAAAATAATAGCTTAAGAGATATAGACTATACCTACATGATATAAAAATATCTCCCAGTTAAGTGGGAAAAAGAGTAGTAGTGATGGTTTTCCTATCCAGCACTAAATAGTTGATTTAAATTGCTTCACTGGCTGTTTTACATTGTCTAAGTATAGACACAACATCAGAGAACGAGCTTCTACTGAAGGTGTAGAAGATTGTTCTTAAAAGTCCTCAATTTCCTTGTAACAGATGGTTTGGCTCCTTCTTACTACAGAGGTTCCTTAATTGAAGACTACTCAGACAGACTGATTATCTGTTTTCCTAATATTTTTACAGGTTCTAACATATAATGTGGTTTACTTGGATGATGCGAATTTCATCTTTCCTAAATCACATTCAGAAAAACAACTCATTTTAGGTTTACAACATGGATCCTAAAGAGCTATCTTATCATCCATGTCTTAATAACTTTATACTGTTTAGCCTGGGAAGGCAGGACAGGAAGAAGGCAGGCAGGCAGGCAAGTGGACAGGCAGGAAGAGTGGAAGGAAGGAAGGGGACTTGTAATATTTCTAGCATTTCAATTCTTAGCTAGGAGTGGATAAACTGATAAGTATTTTGAGTTCCATGTTTGTTTTTGTTGTTTGATCTAAAATTCTGTTGCATTTTATGGACCTCTTTACTTTTGGATCACAAGGAGAGAAACAGAGAAATAGTTCTCTATCAGAATATTTCAATAAAATACTTGCCCCCCAAAAAAAAAAACTTTCAAATTTTCTTGTTCTTTTCCCAAACAGCTCCAAAATGTTCCAAAATGTCTGTCCTGCACTTCTTAATCCTATTTTTTTTTTAATTTCATTATGGACTATAAGCTTTATAATATAGTGTATAATTATTTACCTAAGGATTTAAGGCAATACTACACTTTAAATTTTACGGTACACATGGAAATCTTAAACTACATTTCCCCAAATCTCTGGAAATGGAGTGAGGAGTAGCAATTCTGGTGCTGGCTCTAGCTAGTCATGTGATCTTAAGAAATATATTTAGTTACCTTGGTTTCCATTGGCTTCTCTAAGAAAGGGGGACATCAGATTGAAGTGTTCTGTTCTCACCACCATCTTTAAATTTCAGTGGTTGACTTTAGTCTCTGTAATCACGGGTTGCAGTAGCCCAGTCTGAACTAGGATTTTTGATCTCCTTCTGTACCTTAATATTCTGCTTATAAATGTTGAAATGCAAATCTTCCCCAACATCCTACTCCTTATTCCCTTTTCTGTACTTTTCTTCTTTGCTGTTACCGTTTTCACTTTAGGGTCCCATTAGGAACATCATGCTTGTTTGGCAGGCTTCAGCAATACTGTTGACATTAAAAAGGAAAAGAATATAGCTGGATTTTATTCAAAATGACAGTTTTGGAATTTCATTGAAATACTTATCAAAAGCACACATTATATGGATCATTATATTATTTCTTATCTCTATCAAACTAAAAATCATTGATCTTTTGAAGGAAAGGTAATTTGATCACAGAGGTCAAATGCTGAATTTTTATACTATATTATGCCAATGCAAAATTCACACACATTTTAACATCTGAATGACTAAATGGGACCATGCCTCATTTTTATAAAAATGTCATTTAATGCAATAAAACTAATGAATTTTGTGATTGCAAACATGGTATTTCTGCATTAGGTAGTAGTAGCTGGATGTTTAGAGAGTGAGTAATGCACTTGGATATTATGCATTATCATAATATTAAATTATTAGAATATTTGGGGTCTTTTAATGGCCAAATTCTCTACAGCCATCAAAGCCAAACTCAAATTTCAGTTTCCTATGAGCGAGCTCTTGTCTCTTAATTCTTCCAGTGGTTTGGTCTAACTAGAATTGCTCATGTGACCATATTTAAAGACACATGGAGAAATTATTTGCTCTATGTAATAATGTATATTCTAGTCATGAATATTGCAAAATATACTATCAAAACCTAAAATAAGATCATATTTTTATTCATTTAATACAATCATAAACAAATCATCTCATTGAACACGGTTATTCATACTGTTTTATACTGCAGTTCATTAGTTGTTTAAATGTCAAAGACACAAAACTGGGATTTCTATTGTATTTAACCCTACAACATTGCTGCTCCTACTAATGTATTCAAATTAGTAGGGGAGCTTATAATTATAACATGAGGTAGAAAACATCCCCCTTACAGAATTCTGAGCTGTAGATCATTAGTTAATCCTTTCATTTTAGTTGACAAGGCCCACTTACCTTTGATACCTGCATAAAAAACTCAGTATTCATAAAGCCAGTATATAAATACTATATCCCCAAATGTGCCCAGAATGGATTTTTCACAGCTGAGTTTAGACTTTCATCACTGTTGAACATTCTTGGGAGAATGTAATGAATCTGAAAAATTTCTCAAAACGGGGCTATTTTTCAAGTGTTAATTGAAGTGGCTCCACTCTTTGAGGAAGTCAATGAAAAACGTTAAAGGAAATGAGGTATAATGAACTGTGATTCTTTTTGTTTTTGCAGTCTTAATATCTCATTTGTTTGAATATTTATAAATAAAAGCCAAACAGGGTTTAAGATGTGCAAGGACATTCACTGACAATGGAGATAAGTGATTTGGGTTTTGATTGTCTCGTTATTTATACAATTCTTTAAACCAGGTCCACTACTCGTTTATTTTGTTTTATAATTTTCATCTAAACGTTTTCTTGTATATATAGATATATGAAAAATGGAACTATTTTCTTACACATACTATGCAATATGTTTGTAAAATTGCAATATTACCAAAATTATAAAAGCTGTGCTTTTGCACTCTATCTTGCTTTATGTAAAATTAATCCTTTTCTATTTCAATGGACTGTCTGTCCGATAAACTGTAGATAACATATCTATTAAAAAACAAGTTTATTGCATCTTTTGTTTAGTTTGGAATGGATTGGGTTATAATTTCTTTTGGGAGAAGATGCAGGAAAGTTTTGGCAGTTGGATGCTTTTTTTTTTTTTTTT